TGAGCCGCGTCATCGGGGCCCCAAATAATCTGACTGGGAGGCCCAAGGCGCCTGGCGCCCTAACTTGGTCTGGCGGAGCGGCATCCACGTCGCTTGGTGCATTATCGCGGTCGACATGCTGTCGCTGCGCCGGGCCCCCCGCCGCCCGGTCTGGCGCTGGCAGGGGCCCGCCGTGAGCTTCGCGGCGCTGGCGCGCGCGAGGACATCGACTCGCCGGTCGTTCGTCTCGACGACTCCCTCGTCTCACTGCCCGCGGCTGGGAACGCGCCAGCGCCTCTGGGGGCTGCTGCCAGCGGGCGCAGCCGGTTGCGACGTCGAGGCTTCGATGCGCGAACAGCTCCTTCCAAACGAGGTTGTGGAGTCCAACCTAACAGAGGCCCCGCAACAGCCATATAGACGGTCCTTCGGGCCGACCCACGGGCACACGCGCCCTCAGTCCGTCGCCTCTTCGACGCCGGCACGGTGCCTTTCACCGCCGCCCCGCGGGGGCGGCGCGGCCCTTCCTGCGCGCGCGGGAATTCGACAGCCGCAGGGCCAACTGCTGAATCAGGCGGTCCGCCGTGGCGGCGCCGTGCCAGAGGGCGAGGAGCTCTACGTGGGCCACGCGGACATCCCCGACGCCTCCTACCACGTCGGGCTGTCCGAGGCGTTCTGCAATTACTTCCGTCTGCCGTCGGCCAAAGGCCAGCGACGTCGGGCGCGAGCGCCAGTTGGCTCCAGGCGGCCGTGTCTGGCCCGTGCTGGAGGCGCCCCAGACGCGCTGGTCGCTCGCATTGTACTGGCGCCAGACCATCCGCGGCATCGCGAGTGCGATCCCCGAGCTGAGAGCGGCGCCGTTCATCTCGGACAAGCGCGCAGCGCCGCCAGTGCAGCCGCTTGCCACGACGACATACGTCGCTAATTTTTGGCTCCGGGTGCCGACCCCAACGCCGCGGCTCGCGCTGTGAAGCTTGCCAGCGCCGCCTTGACATCCAGGGGCCCACCCGCCCGCGAAGCTTACGTGCGTGACCGCGATGCCGGAATCCTGGACCAGGAAATCCGAGGCCGCGATGGAGAAAGACGACCAAATAGATCAAGGCTGCGGCGACTCCGCACAACGGGGACTCCGTCCGACGGGAGCTGACTGCATTCTCGACCTTGCCGACTATGATCTCTCGGATTATGCAGGCGTCTTGGAGCTCCGAGGTCACGCGCGCTGACGCGTCCTCCTGGGGCTTTGGGCTCGTCTGCGAGGACTTCGAGGAGGAGTTCGTGGGCCCCGCAGGTGTCTTCTCGGAGCGCTGGCGTTTCTTGGGGAACGCAAATGTGCTGCCGCGGGCTCGGACTGGCATTACAGGTGGGCCTTTTCGAGAGCTTACAGGACTTCCAGTGCATTGTCGGCTCGGAGGAGTCCGATCCCGAGGCCCGCCAGCTGGCCGCTGGTCTTTTGCCTCGCGCATTCCGCGAAGTTGGTCGGGTAGTCGCGGGATCTCACGCGTGGGGGCCCCCGCCCGACAACGTCGTGGATGGGGGGGGGGCCGGGCGATCACGTTCGGGGCGCAGCGCATCTGCAGGTCCTCATAGGACCAGCGGTCGGCGCCATCTCCTGCGCTCTGACTCGTTGTCTTCCGTCGCGGCTCTGGGCAAGGGGCGCTCGTCGGCCCCTGGCGTCTGCGGCGCCCTTCGCGCCGCGGCGGGGCGTCGCGGACGGTCCGTCGCGAGGGCTGCGGCGCGCTGGCTACGCCCGAGCTGAAGGCGGCGACGTTGCCCCGCCGGCGGCAGGGCCCCGCGGCGACGTTGGCGGCAGCTGCGCCGAGGTCGCGCGGGCCGCCTCCAGGGCCGCCGACGTCGACGCCGGCGCTGAAGCGGCCGGCGCCCCCAGGGAGTCAGTCCGACCGCCTGACTGGCTCGCCGCCGCGCACGGGCAGCCGAAGGCGATGGCGGCCGATCGGGCGAAGAAGCGGAAACTGGCGGCAATCCCTCTGGCCGACGGGGGGGCGGCGGCGCTAGACCTCGGCCTTTCCGAGTGGATGCTCGGGCAGTACCTCGAGGGCGTCGACCATTGGCGCGGGGCCCAGATATTGGCTGCCCAGCGGAGCGACCCGCGGCCCAGCCGCGACGGTCAACTCGCATCCCCGCGGCGCGACAGTCGCTCCGCAGCTGGAAGGTGCCGGCGCCGCCGCTGACGAAGTCGCCGCTACCGGGGGAGCTCGCGGCAGCTTTGGCTTGCGAGTTCGTCGACATGAAGCAGTGGGAGGCGGCGGTCTTCTTCGCGCGGCTGGGCGAGTGTGCGCGCGCGCTGGCGAGGCGCGCCGTGGCGCCGCGGGCGGCAGGGCGCCTGGCTCTCCGCCGCCGGGCGCTGGCCCCGCATTCGCAGGACGTCGGGCGCGGGGCCCTGCGAGACCGCGGAGTTCGACGAGAGCTTCCTCGCGCGCGACCTGTGGCTGGCGGGCGTGCTGCGGCGGCTGGCGGCGGGAAATGCTCCAAATCAGCATCTCGGTGGGCGAGTTCGCCGCGCTGTCCGGGCGCGCCGCGCGGGGCCAGGCTGGCGGCCGAGCCGATGCCTCACTTGCCGCGGCTCTCCGGGGCACGCGGGGACTTGTCGCGCAGTTGCGCCCGCTGTCGGAGGTCAAATGCAGGGGCAGGTGGAAGACCGATGCGCTGGTCAGGCGCCACGAGAAGGGCGGCAGGCTCAGCGCGCAGTGTGCCTAGCTGCGCGCGGCGCCCCAGAAGCACGCGCTGCGGTGCCACTGCGAGCTCCCAGAGGTTATCCTAGGGGCGGGGGGCGCGCTGCCCCGCCGCCCCAGTCGCGCTCGAGGTGAAAGCGTTTCTGGGGATCTTTGCGGGCTCGGGCCGCGTGGGTCGAGCGCTGGCCCGCCGAGGCAATCGTGCGTTCGCGTGGGACCTGAAGCAGGGGCCCGACTTTGATCTTGGCGATGTGAGAAAACGCCCGATCATTCGAGGCTGGCTCCAGTCTAGCCTTATCCGCGCCGTGCACCTCTGCACGCCGCGCGGCAGCCGGCCGCGCGCGAGAGATATCCAACCTGGCCCTCCTCGTCTCCGCTCGTACTAGCACGCGCTCGGTCTGCCCGACATCCTCCCGTCCGCGCAGGCCGCCGTATATTTCAGCATTATGATGAGGCGTTTCAGTGCTTCTGTGTTGGCGGTTGCTTAATGTGCGCGGCTTCTTTGTGCTACGGAGCATCATAATACCGCGCAGATCTGGCCGGCCCCCCTGTGGCCTCCCCGAGCATATCCCCTTCGTGTGTGTGTGTGTGTGTGCGTGTGCGTGTGCGTGTGCGTGTGCGTGTGCGGTGTGCGTGTGCGTGTGCGTGTGCGTGTGCGTGTGCGTGTGCGTGTGCGTGTGCGTGTGCGTGTGTGTGTGTGTTTTTTTGGGGGGGGACGATTTCTGTCAGTGGGGGGCGCCGTGGAGAAAGCGGACGTCCGTCTTCGGAACCCCAGTGATTTTTCGAGCATAGTCAGATCTTGCAAGCGGTACGACGGATGTTGCAGCAAGTCCGGAAGGCCCCACCAAGTGCTCGGGTGTCGATCGCCCGACGGTCGGTTTCGGACCGCAGCTGCAGAGGCCTATCCCAGTCAGTTTTGCATGGCGCCATCGTGTGCCAAAAAGTATCCGCGATGAAATGTGCCATGCCAGTGTAAGTCAACGGTTTTTGTTCTGGACGGTCTCTGAGGCCATATGACATTTTTGTTGGCACCGTTCAGGTTTGGCGAGTTTGTTTAAATCGCGAGTTGTTTCGAGATGTCTTCGCTCCCAGTGCCGCCGGCGACTGTTCTCTCGAGGGAGGGGGGCGCCTTGCATATACGACGGCGACTCGCGCATGGCAGGGCCAGACAGCAGGAAATACAGTTCAGTGTTCCACGCGTTTTGAATATCCTGTCGTCGTCGCCGCTGCCGTCCATGTCGTGGCCCGTTGCTCAAGTCTCCCTCCCTCCATCCCTGTTCTTCTCGTTCTTCTTTGTCCGCTCACCTCTGCCTTCAAGGTGGGCATGTTTATATCGCGATTTGTTTCGACGCTTGTTCGTTTGCGGTGCCGGCGGCGACTGTTCTCCCGAGAAAACGAAGCGCCTTTTATAGACGACGACGCTTCGCGCATGGCAGGGCCAGACGGCAGGGGATACATATAAGTATATGGTTGTTTATCGTTGTTTGTTTTCTCTCTCTCTCTCTCTCTTTCTCTCCCTCTCTCTCTCTTACGTTCTCTATGTTTGTTTCCACTCTCTCTCTCTCAATATATATATATATACACATATATATATGTGTATATATACATATAGATACATGCACATTCCCGTATCTCTATCTGTTTGTCTCTCTTTCCCTCTCCTTCGCCCTTTCTCCCTTTTTGCCCGCGCCCTTTTTTCATTCTCCGCTAGTGCACCAGCGACGCGCATCGATTGCCTGCTCGTCGACTTGCTGGGTGTAGGGCCGCCATCCAAGTGTAATGGGTATCGGTTGCGTTGTATGTTGAGGTCGCGGGAACGCCTGGTGTACGTTCGGGCCTTCATCGCATCCCGCTACCGCGTGTTGGCTTTGTGCCGGAGGCGTCTCGGGAGTTGTCTTGAACGTCTTTTGGGAACAGGTTGGACCCTCTTGGGGCCTCTTGGTGCCTTTCGGGGGCTTCCCGGTGGCCTCATGGCGGGCTCTGGGCCGTCTTGGAAGCCTCGAAGGCTGCCTTGAGGCGGTTGGGGGCGTCTCAGGCCGTCTCAGACGCTCTTCAGGGGAAAAAGGAGGGAACACATACGCCGTAAAGCAACTGACGCGTCTTGCAAAGATTGGGGTTTCTTCGGCTGGCCCAAGATGGTTACTCCACATGTGCTCAAGCGACCCCCCAAATTGCTCTTGACCATTTTGGCTCAAGCTGTGTGCCAACCGAGCCCAGCAGACGACGAACGCACATAGACGATCGCCATTCGCCCTTCTCGCCCCACGTGCCCAGACGAAAACGATTCTCGGCGTTGCCGTCCTCTTTCGTTTGCGCCTTCCCGCCACCGGACAGGACCCGCCAGAGGTCCAAGACCCCTTCGCGGGCGGCATGGGCACCGAACTGCCTGTGCGGGTGGAGCCGGCCGAGGCGCCAGCGTCACACTGCATCGCGTGGCGTCCCGCGTTGGTGCCGACGGCGGCGTCTGGGAACAAATCCACGAGTCACGAGGTTCGAGGATTGAATGTGCTTTATTTTTCTGGGCATGTTTGGTTCCTGAATGGTTCCCCTTGCCACAGCTAGATCCGCCGTTGCAGTGTTTGTCAAACCGCACCGCTCGGCAGATCCAGAGGTGGATTTGTTCCTCCGAACCCAGACCTCCGATCTTGAGATACTACGGAGATGCTTTTCACTTTCTGTTCTTCGGACGCCGGCTTGTGGATCCCAGGGCCAATTGAAGACTATTCGGGATGAAAATTTTGGACAGGGGGGACTTGAACCAACCCGGAACGACGAGCGGGATGTTGAGTGACGATGAGTGAGCACAGGGGAATCAGGAGTGAGCGACGAGAGTAGGAATAATTTAATTCAGGGGCGACAGAGAGGGGAGCAGGAGGAGGCTGAGGAAGAGCAAATATGCCGAATAGAGGGAGGGATGATGCCAGAGGGAGGAGCAAGGATGAACATGATGAGAAGATTGGCAGGACTGGTTGCCACACCCGATGCAGAATCTATTCATGTATGTATATCTAGAAGTGTACACAAACATATCTATATATACATATATATATATATCTATATTCCTCTTCCTATATGAGTATAAGCCTGGGCGGGGGGAAAACCCATCCCCCCCAAAAAAAACCGGACTCCCGGGACCTGGGGCTTTGGGGCCCTCCGGACGGGCCTCGAAGCGGCCACCGGGCCTCGCAAGGCGTTTTGCCAAGCCTTCCCAGCACACTTAGGGCGATCAGGGGGTCATCGGAGACGTCCCAGAGACCCCCAAGACAGCACAAGAGCGCTCCAAGAGTGACCGACGTGACCTCAAGATGGCCCGAGGGGCCTCCAGGACGGCCCCAAAGAGGCCTCCAAGAGCACTCCCAAGAAGGCCCCCCGAGGCAAAAATCATTGATTTTCTGTACGTTTTGGTGAATTTTGGGGTTCTCCTCTTTTCGGCTTCCCGACGCTCCAAGACGGCGGTCTTCTGGGCGTCCGAAGCCGCTTGGGAGGCTCCCAAATCGCCCCACAACCATCCGAAAGGGCTTCCAGGCAGCCCAAGAGAGCCCCAAAACGGGACAACACGGGTCCAAGATGGCCCTCAGAGAGCCCCATGGCAGCCCAAGATGGCCCAAAGACACCCTCTGAAGAATTTCAAATCGTGATCCGGTCGTTCAGTGTGGAGCCAGGGTGGCCCGAGGAAGCCCCCGGAGGCCCCCAGAATGCGCCCAGGAGGCCTCCAGAAGGCTTTAAGAAAACCCGAAACAACTGTTGTGAGCCCCTAGAGGCTCTCCAAGGAGGAGCCTCTGCAAAAAAGAGCTGAGGAGGATGGGGAGAATGCGCAGTGTATGGCGAAAATAAGGAACAATAAGCATGGAGGAAGGATAACGAATAACATCATTATAGCGGCGATGCCGGAAAAGGCAACCAGGAGTTATCGCTAAATTGTCGGCTTGACCTTCCTGCCATTCCGCCTGCATACCAAATTTCAAGGACCAAGGTGCATGGCGCGAAGCGCCACTGCAGTCTTGTATATATATATATATATATATATGTGTGTGTGTGTTCATTCCTCTTCCTATATTTTTACAAGCCCGGGGGGGGGGGAAACCATCCCCCCCCCCTAAACTGGACCCCCGGGATCTGGGGTTCTCGGGCTCCCTTGGACGTCCTTGGAAAAGGTCACCCGGCTTTCCGGGGCTTCACCACCGCCTTGCCAGCAGACCCCGAGCGATCCGAGGAATCATCAGAAAGGCCCAAGGGAGACCCCAGACAGCACAAGAGCGCTCCAAGAGGGACTCCAATTGCGTCAGCACGGCCCAAAAGACCCCTAAGGCACCCCAAAAAGCTTCCCGAGGGGCCTTCAAAGCACACAAATCGCCCCACTCCCTTCGTACAACTTACAATTGTAGCATACTCGCCTTTCGGATTTCATCAGCTTTCAAGACGGTTTCAAAGCCCCCGAGATCGCCTCAAGACGCCCCCAAAGGCCCCCTAGAAAGCTTCAAGACGGCCGAGCCGGGCCCCACGATCGCCCACGAGAGCCCCAAGACAGCCCATAATGGAACCAAGAGGCCTCCAAAGGGCTCCCAGCACAGACCCAAAAGGGCCATGGGAGGTCCCCGGAAGTGCCCAAGATGGGTCCCAAGGGGGCTCCAGCGGGCCCAAGCTCTCCAAGACGGCCCAAGAAGGTCCCAGGACGGCCCATGAAGTCGCCAAAACGGCCCACGAGGGCCCCGAAGACACCCCCACGATGTTTCCGAATGCCAACATAAAGACCCCCAAGGCACCCTAAAAAGCTTTCCACGTGGCCTTCAAACCACAAAATCGCCCCACTCCCTTCGTAAAACTTACAATTTTAGCATACTCGCCTTTCGGATGTCATCAGCTTTCAAGACGGTTTCAAAGCTCCCGAGATCGCCTCAAGACGCTCCAAAAGGCTCTCCAGAAAGCTTCAAGACGGCCGAGCCGGGCCCCACGATCGCCCACGAGAGCCCCAAGACAGCCCATAATGGAACCAAGAGGCCCCCCAAGGGCTCCCAGCACAGACCCAAAAGGGCCATGGGAGGTCCCCGGAAGTGCCCAAGATGGGTCCAAAGGGGGCTCCAGCGGGCCCAAGCTCTCCAAGACGGCCCAAGAAGGTCCCAGGACGGCCCATGAAGTCGCCAAAACGGCCTACGAAGGCCCCGAAAACACCCCCACGATGTTTCCGAATGCCAGCATTCATTGATTTTGCTCCCATGACATTTCATATTGTAACCCAGTCGTTGAGGGTCTTGTGGCATGCAGCGAAGATGCCCGAGGATACCCCGCACGAGTTGCATATGCATGTTCATACCCTTACGCATCGATTCATATGTACATATGTACGCTGTATACACACATACAACCACGTAAGTATATTGTATACACCTAGACTTATACGGAACGTGCGTGCGCGTGCGCGTGTTTACATGCATGCGCGCATGTACGCACGCACGCATTCCGCTTGCGTGCATAACTCAAAGGACCAAGGTACATGGCGCGCAGCGCCAATGCAGCTTTGTTTATATACATATGTCTATTTATGTGTATATATATATATATATATATATATATGTGTGTGTGTGTGTGTCGGGGTACGGGGCTGGGGGCCTCTGACCAGGTGCCTCGAGTCGCCATGGGGGGACCCCCCCCCCTGGGCCTCTCCAGAGCCGCTCCGGGGCATCTCCCGAGCGGGTCTGGACGGACCATGGTGCTGTCTCAGCACAAGGAATGGTTCCCACCTTCGACCCATGTCGCCGAAGCACGTGGTAGAGGTTTCGGGAGCCGTCCAACATGGCTCCCCAGAGAGCCCCAGGAGGCCCAAATCGATTGTTTTCCGATGGTTTCGGAAGGATTTGGGCCTTTGTTTTTTTCGGTTGTACGACGCAGCCTGAGACATCCTTGCAACTCTGAGCTCTGAGATGCCGTGCGCAAGGTGGTCTGGCCTGTTTCGCACAAGACATTCTCGCAACTCTGAGCTCTCAGATGCTGCGCAAGAGGTGGTCCAGCCTGGGGGCCCAGAAGACCACATGATACATATCCTCCATGGGACCCTGCGAGCCTCAGGAGGCCCCAGAGAGGTCCAGGAGGCCGCAGGACGCCCAGGACAGACCCTAGGGGCCCCCAGGAGATTCCCAGGAGGCCCCAGGAGGCCCTCTATCAGAACGTGTCAAGTTAATACACATCCGGTGTCGATTCGTTGATTTTTCCTGCTCTTGTGCCCCCCCCTTCCATTTTGAGGGGCCCAAGCGGCCACAGGTTAGATATCCCCCCTGGGAGCCCCAAGATGCTTCAGGAAACCTCAGGTGGAGTTCAGGAGGCCACAGGAGGCCCAGGAGGAAGCTCCAGGAGGTCCCCAGGAGGCCCCAGGAGGCACCAGGAGGCCGCAGGACGCCCAGGACAGGCCCCAGGGGTCTCCAGGAGATTCCCAGGAGGCTCCCAGGAGGCCCCAGGAGGCCGCCTGTCAGAACGTGTCAAGTTGATACACATCCGGTGCCGATTCGTTGATTTGTCCTGCTCTTGTGCCCCCCCCTCTATTTGGAGAGGCCCAAACGGCCACAGGTTAGATATCCCCCCTGGGAGCCCCAAGAGGCTTCAGGAAACCCCAGGTGGAGTTCACGAGGCCACAGGAGGCCCAGGAGGAAGCTCCCAGGAGGTCCCCAGGAGGCCCCAGGAGGCACCAGGAGGCCCCCGCAACTCGGAGCTCTGAGACGCCGCGCTCGAGGTGGTCCAGCCCGTTTCGCCTGAGACTTCCTCGCAGCACGTTTCGCCCGAGACATCGTCGCAACTCTGGGGTCCGAAATGCCGCGCGCGAGGTGGTCCAGCCCGTTACGCTGGAGACATCCTCGCAACTCTAGGCTCCGAGATGCCTTTCGGGATGAAGAGGAGGTGAAGGAGGAGGAGGAGGAGGAGGAGGAGGAGGAGGAGGAGGCATGTTTTAACATGCCATGCCAGCCCGCACTGGACGGGCACGCAATCGACCTTGGAAACCGCAGTGGGTCTAAAAACACTGTTTGGGGATACTGCACTCCGGCTATAATGTTTTTTTCGGTTGTACGACGCTCCACGACGGCCCGGGAGGTCTCCAGGTCCGCCCCCCAGCAGCCCCAGAGGCCCCCCAGACAAGCCCAAGGCGGCCCCGCAGAGCCCAAGGCTCGCCCAAGCAGCGCCCACGACAGCCCACGAAGGCTCCAAAAGAAGCCCACGAAGGGCCCAAGAGAGGGACCGCGTACCGAACGCCTAAGGCTCCCGCCTCAACAGTGACCCCGGAGGCCCCAAGCAGCCCGCAAGAGTCCTCCAACATGGCTCTGAACGCCTCCACAAGCACTCCCATGAGGGCCCCAGCAGGCCAACAAATGATGGTTTTACCATAGTTTTGGAAGGGTTTTGGCCTTCTGATCTTTGCGGCTGTC